AAAGGATCTAATGGCATGCGCACGAGGACGATGGCTTGCTGCACCACTGTTCATGGAGATTATGCAGCTGGATTGGCCACCATGCTGCTACACCTGGCCGACACCCTGCCTCGCAGACTGCCTGGAGCAGCTACTTGTGACAAGAACCATGTCCCAGTCTACGACTTCTTCCCTACCAGATCAGACTTCACTGCAGATCATGTACCGGACGTGCCCACAGCCATCGAACATGGACCTCTTGACTTTCCACACATCCACACTCAGCATCTTGTTTCTCCTTGACGAAGACCATTGAAGACCTCCCTTGCCGCTGACCAAGACCTTTGCAGTTCGCCTTGCTTCCATCATCGACCTGACCAAGACCTTTGCAGTTCGCCTTGCTTCCATCATCGACCTGACCAAGACCTTTGCAGTTCGCCTTGCTTCCATCATCGACCTGACCCCTATTGCTGCCGCTGACCTGGGACTGCTCAAGACTTCCGAAGACCCCTTCTTGCTGGCGATCAAGACACTTGACGACCTCCCCCAGACCCTGTGACCCATTGCAGACCTCCAACTCTGTACCCACATCCCATCAAACATCCCAACCCTTGTACATGCAAACTGTGCCCTTGAACCTTGCAACAAACAATTTTTATTTTTTTCTTATTATTATTTTTCATTCCCTAACAACCTATAACCTTGTAGAATTTCCACTCAAATACCCGTTCACCCTTGTAGATCATCAATAGGAAACCCTGTTACCTTCTCTCCCTTGTAGATCATCAATAGGAAACCCTGTTACCTGCTCTCCCTTGTAGATCATCAATAGGCAACCCTGTTACCCCCTCACCCTTGTCAACCATCTATAGGACTACCCTGTTCCCCCTGCAGCACCCCTAGTTCATCAGTAGGATAACCCTGTGCTCAGTCCCCCGACTAGACACCCTGACCCTGTGACACCTACTCTTTCCTTTTTCACCTTGATGACCAGTGCTCGGCCCCGTCCCGTCCTTCACAGCTTTTTGCATTGTTCCATGACTATTGGAAGCCGGGACGTTGCCTCTTAGAGGGAGGGGATAGTGTTACGGACTCCGCCAGGGCTCGATCCCTGGTCTATCTTTTTGCTGTTTCGGCTGCATCCCGTTCTTGGCCTGGCACCCTTTTTCCAAACCCCTCCTTTGGTACCATAGGATTTTGGACAACTGGCGCCATGCTACAATTCGGGGCCACTTTCAAATTCCACATTTTTCAGTTCTGCCCTTGGGGCTTTGCAGATTTTCCCCCGGTACTGTACCGGACACCCGGTACTTATACCGGTGCCCCGTACAGTACGGGGACCAGTCTCGTACCAGTTTCCAGCTGCTGCACTCGTACCCAGTGTGACTTGCTCCTGTTTCGGCATTCGGAATCCAAGACTTCGACTTTGTGTCCTTGTCACTGTGTCTGCGTCCGACCCTCAGTCGTGTCGAGTGAGTGAGTGTGTGTGTGTGCTCTCACTCTCTCCCTCTCTCTCTCCTCTCCCTCGGCTCCCCCTGTCTCCCTCAGTCTCGCGCTCGTTACACCTTCCCCAGCAGTGCAGCTGAGTGCTAGTGCTGCTCCACCCAGCGCTCCAACCAGTGTGTTGTCAAACTTGAACACCGACAATGGGGAGGAGCAACTGGCTCCTCCTGGAGATATAGCGGCCTGCTTGTGCCTTGGCGAGTGACTTCCTAGGCCGCGCGGACTCCAAGCAACAGGTACCTCCTCCCTTTCGGAGTGAAACATCATTGCAGTCTCTGATATTGCCCGTACAGGCCCCAGACTCAGTGTTACATGCCCAGTTGGGCGATGTACGTATATAACCAAGGATCCACAATGTGATAAAAAGGACTGAATGGACAATGCAGTGCAAGTGAAATCTTAACAACCAGTGTACATCCTGATACATACAAAAATGGTCCTTTATAGCGCAGTGGAAGACTTAGATACAAGTCCTGACCTGACCGGGATGGACCTCTCTTACGTAGTACAAGACAGCGTAGCGGAATACCAGAATACCGATGACTATGGAGACCAAACATATATCATCCTCATCACAAGGTGTGAAGGGGGCCTGGCGCTACACACAGGAAGAATGCACCAGGTCCAGATCATGCACATACGAAGAGGAGGGAATCAGACGAAGAAGAGGGGGGAGATGGGAATGTCATCAACACCAAGTCTTCGTTACAAGTCCCAAATTGTCCCTCGTCAAAATGTCTGAAGCCCCATGTCGAATCTGGACCAAATGTCACCAATCCCGCTCTCTCGTAGTCTGCTGATGCAGTGAAGTCAGGTAGCGAGAGGGTGAGAGGGAGATGGTGGACTGAGAAGAGGAAGAAGAAGAACTCTCTCTCTCTCTCTCTTATGTGCCAGGTACTAACCTGTGAAGATGGCGCTGTGCTGCAGGTACCTTGAAGACGGAGCTGGAGCTGTGGCGCTGCAGGTAAGTCTCCCTGGCCTCCGCCCAATCTCTCTCTCTCTCCAGAACTACTCTAGCTCCTACTAGCGCCCAGAGCTGAAGACTACTGCTAATGCTACTACTACTACTGCAGCACTCCTCCAGAGTGCTGCTGCCAGGAGGCTGCTCTTGCCAATGCCAAGACGTGCCAGACCCTGGGGTTGAAGCTCAAACAAAGCTTGTCTTGAAAATAGGCCAACAATGGCCTGAGCTCAAACCCTGGTCTGGTGCCTGAGTTTCAGGGTAGGTCGATCTTATGAGGGCCTGAAAATGGTCCTCCGTTTCAGGCTGAAAAGACTCAGGGCCGGAAAGGCCCTGTTTTAGGCTGAAACGACACAGGGCCTGTAGGCACTTGTTTTCAGGCTTTCAGGCTGAAACGACAAAGGGCCTGTAGGCCCTTGTTTTCAGGCTTTCGGGCTGAAAACGACACGGGCCTGAAAATGGCCCGTGCAGCCTGTTGCAGGCGCATGTTACATGCTGCGCCTGCACACGAGGGCCATTTTCCAGGCCCTGCGTCCTTCAGGCTAAAAGCCTGGATTTCAGGCCGAAAGCCTGAAATTTAGGGTCTACAGGCCCCGTGTCTGTTCAGCTCGTAGAGCTGGAAAACAGGGGCCTACAGGCCCTGTGTCGTTTCAGACTAAAAACGGCATGAGCCTTTTTAGCCTGAAACTGAGGGCCATTTTCGGGCCCTCATCAGACCGAACTGCCCTGAAACTCAGGCACCAAACCAGGGTTTCAGGAACAGGCTATTTTTGGCCTGTTCCCACGACAGCCTCAGCATTGAGCTGCAGCGTCAGGCCCTGGCCCAGTTCGGCATTGGCAAGAGCAGCCTCCTGGACTGCCCGCCCTGCAACTGCAGGCAGTCGGAGGCAGTCAGGAGGCAGGCTGAGGTAGTACATAGGGACTTCCCATGCACTTCACGGGCAGGCAGGACGCAGTGAGTAGTCTTCAGGATTTCGGCAGCAGCACTCTGGAGGAGCGCTGCAGTAGTAGTAGTAGCGTTAGCCTTAGTCTTCAGCGCTGGGCGCTTGCAGCGTTAGTAGTAATCTTCGGCGCTGGGCGCCATAGCTAGAGTAGCATTAGAGAGAGAGAGAGATTGGGCGGAGGCCAGGGGTACTCACTTGCAGCGCCGTTGCTCCAGCTTCGTCTTCGAGGTACCTGCAGCACAGCGCCATCTTCACAGGTTAGTACTTGGTATACAAGAGAGAGAGAGAGAGTGCTTCTTCTTCCTCTTCTCAGTCCACGATCTCCTTCTCACCCTCTCGCTATCTGACTTCACTGCATCAGCAGACTACGAGGGAGAGAGAGAGAGAGAGATCTTGGTGGCATTTGGATCCAGACTCGACATTGGACTTCAGACATATCGAAGAGGGATTATTTGGGACTTGAAGCGAGACTTGGTGTTGACGACTTTCCCATCTTCCCCTTCCTCTTCTCGTCTGATCCCCTCCTCTTCGTCTGTGTATGTCTGGACCTGGCGCCTCTTTCCTGTGTATAGCGCCAGGCTCCTTCACACCTTGTGATGGACATGATGTATGTTTGGTCTGCGTTTGAACATCGATTGGGGTAGTCATTTGCATTCTAGCATTCTGCTTCGCTATCTTGTGCTACGTGAATGAGGTCCGTCCCGGTCAGGTCAGGATTTGTATCTTAGTCTTCCCTGCGCTATTCAGCACCATTTTGTATATATCAGAATGCACATTGCTTGTCGAGATTCAACTTGCACTGCATTGTCCATTCAGTCCTTTTTATCACATTGCGGATCCTCGGTTATTATGTACATCGCCCATCTGGGCATGTAACTTATGGTATCGGACCACCACACGTGAATCAGGACAACCTGATCTGACACGTGTGCAGGGACTAGATAGGTGATTAGTCTTGGTTGATTGATTAGAGCACACTAGTTAGCCCCCCAAAATCATGATTTTTTACCTCGCTGCCGATAATCGAATTTTTTTTCTTTTCTTGGATTTCGTTTTCTCGCTAGTTCTGTTGTGGGAAAAAAATCGCAATAACGCAACATCTGAAATTTCCGTTTCGTTTTTTTGTTTCTTCTGAAAATCCAAAATTTCGTTGTTGGAAATCCGGGATATTTTTTTTCTCTCGAAAATTTTGATTCCTGTTGCATTTCCCGTTATTTGGAAATTCGGAATATTTCTTCCGAAATCCGTTTTTTAGGAACGGTACGGGAAATCCCTCTTGCAGTACCACTTTCCACACTGCGAATACTCTCATCTGAGTAAATCCGAATACTTGTATTTCTTTTCGGAATTTTTTTTTCTCGCAGTCATTTGCAGTCTGAAGTCCGAAATTTTTTCTCATTGCTAATTTCGCACTTCAAGGGAGGTTGGGAGACCTACTGAACTTGCAAAACTCGGGATTTTTATTTTCTCGAAATTTTTTTTGCGAAGTTCAAACTTTTCTTTCTTGATTAGTGGCTCCTTATCTGGGCGATTTACCCCACCCCTCCCCACCTATGTTGTTGCCCCCTCTGGTCTTTTCTCTATCTCCCTCTGGGTACCCCCTGCGGCGGCATTGGTAAGTTGCCATGTCAGCAGGCCACAGCAGCAGGACACGTCAGTGCATGGTGCTCACCCGCTCAAAGACAAGCGGCATGGAGCAGCAGCCAGGCGAGACTACCGAGGCCTATGAGGCCCGCATGCTGGACATGGTAGCAGAGTACAAGCAACGGGCAGCTGCGGCAACATCCGCATTTAAGAAGGAAGACGAGGAAGCAGAGGAACAGCGTCGCCTCGCTGAACAGCAGCAACAGGCGGACGGTGAGGCAGCAGCGACGGCCGCAGATGAACGCCGTCGACTACGCCGAGACAAACTCCTCGAATGCGAGGGGGATATCGAGGTGATCGTCGGCGAGTGGCTGCTGAAGAGGAGGGTGCCCCCTCTGCTGTCCGTGGCCTTGCAACCACAACCGAACATGTGAGCGACTTGGTGTCCACCTGTGCAGCACAGCAAGAGGACATCCTCTGCATAGACACCCTGGTCCGGAAGCAGATTCGCATTATTGACGAACTGCTTGACCAAGTACGTCGGCTGGAACAGCAGCTTGCATCAGCCACCCCCGCCGGACCCTCCAACTTGACGGACCGCGTCAACGTCTTGGAAATCGGCGTCGAGACTCTCAAGGACGGCGCTCTAACGACAAATCAGCGGATTGACCAGCAGATTTATGCCGCCGCAGCCAGTCCGACCGCGACCAATCGCGAGAGCATTCCGAAGCTTGACGGCCTCCCGATCTTCTGCGATGCAACGAAGACGGACCCGATCCCATGGTGGCACCAGTTTGAGCTGAAGTTGGACATTCACCACGTCATCAACCCGAACCGGCACACAGACTTATACTCCCGCTCGGGAGGCGCGTGCCAGGCATGGCTGGACAACATGTTGTCCACGCACAACGTCGCAGTCTCCGAGCTGCATACGAAGATCAGCTGGGCTGATCTCAAGGCAGCATGGCATAAGCGGTTCCAAGTGGAGTCGCCCGAGCTTCAGGCAACCGAGAAACTTCAACGGTTCTATCAGAACGACCTGCC